AATATGGAGAAGCAAATTTACAGATTTTTGCAGATAATTTATATCAGTGAAAACATTGAAGAGAAGGAGAACCTTGAAACCATTGCTGGAACAGATTAGAAAGCAGAATGTTCGATACAGCTGGGGATTCTTAGCATGCCTGATTGGATGGAAAATTTGTCGTTCTGCAAGATTGAGATTCCCGGAGGACTTTAGAGACTTTTGTGAGAGATTTGAACTACAGAAAATAGATATCCCAGGATATTCCCCTCCTCCTAGGCTAAGCAAAGAATTTTTTTTTTCTGGAAAGGCAGGAAACAGGAAGTAGGACAGGTATCCAGAAATGCAGCTTTGAATTTGGGAACACGGACTGGAGAGGCATATGTGGTCATAGCTCCACCCTAGGCCCTGAATCAATGGTGGGACTAGGACCACAGATGATTTGTAGGCAAGTTAAAAGCCTAGGGGGAGTTGTGGAGAGTTAGGGGGGGGGTGGGTGGGAGAGGGGAAGGGAGGGGAATGGGTAATTATGTAGGGGTTAGCTCCGTGTTCCTCTGGAAGGATGAAGGTACTCTCGCTGGTGGAGGAGGAAAAACACTTATGGGAAATGGAGGAGGTTAACTTTATGACCTATAATGTCAAGGGACTAAACATTCCGGGGAAAAGGCATAAAATCCTCAGAGAATTACAACAACGATCTATTGCAATAGTGTGTTTAAAGGAAACTCACTTATTACAGGAAACAAATGTGAAGTTATACCCAACCTAGTTTTATGCAGATTCACTAACTAGGCATTCTAAAGGAGTGGCAATTGGCATAGCTAAAAATGTAATGTTTAAGCTGGAAGAGAAGTTGGAGGATCCTGAGGGGCGTTTTTTGTTCTCAAGGGGGAAATTACAGGAAATAGAGTGTACATTGGCAAATATTTATTGCCCCACTAGAAATCCAGTGGCCTATCTGAAAAGTGTATTGAGAAGACTTCTGGATTTTAAAACAGGCAAACTAATTGTGGCAGGAGATTTTAATTTTTGCATGGACCCCCAGATTGACACGACGTCGCTTGTGCAGAGAGAGGAAGGTAAATCTCTGAAATCCATAGAAAGAATTTTATATCAATGTCAATTTGTGGATGTCTGGAGAGTTAAACATCCCAAAGACATGGACTATATGTTCTACTCTCCGCCACATGCGACGTATTCGAGATTAGATTATATATTGATGGACCATAGACTTTTGGAATGCTGGTCAAAGTACATATAGAAGTTATAACCATATCGGACCATGCACTTGTTACAATGAAGTTATTATGGGGAAGAGAGCAGAATAAGTTAAACATGTGGAGATTAAATGAGACTCTCCTTCAGGATCATGAGATAGAACAGAGAATAAAAAAAGAAATAGAAAAATACTTTGAAAGAAATGAGACTGAAGGAGTTTGAATGGCCACGGTGTGGGAAGTACATAAGGTATACGTCAGGGGAAGTTTGATAGCGATTGGGGTAAAAAAAAAAAAGGAACGAAATAAGATAATTAATATGCTTTTAAGGGATCTATACAAATTAGAACAGTTACATAAAAAGAGAATAACAAAAGAGATTCAACAAAGTATAATAAATAAGCAAGAGGAATTGTGTAATTTAATGGAGGAAGAAGCGAGGAGAACATTCAACATGATGGCAAGAGAGAGATATCGGTGGGGGAATAAACCAGGGAAATATTTAATGAGAGTACAGAGAAATAAGAATTCAAGGAATTATATAGAAAAAATTAAAGACGATAATGGAGAACTGGTCTACTCAACCACTGATATCGCTAACGTATTTACAAAATATTGCAGTAAACTATATGATGTTATTCCACAGCGGTCAAAAGGAGAAGAGGAAGAAATCATTAGAAATAGACAGATATACTTAAAAGAGGCGGGATTGCCGAGACTAGGGGGAAGAACGGTTAAGCTGCCTAGAGAAACCTATAACGCAGGAGGAAATCCAAGTAGCACTAAAGAGTACAATATCGGGGAGGAGGTCGAGGCCAGATGGGTATACTGTGAGATATTATAAAAAAAATTAAAAATCAATTAGTACCTAAACTGAGTTTATACATGAACGCATTAGGAGAGGGGGTGGAAATGAGATAAGAATCCTTGCAAGCTCATATCACAATCATTCAGAGAGAGGGAAAAGATGGGACCCAATGTGCTAGCTACAGGCATATATCTTTGCATATAATTTGATATGCATATTTAGCAAAGGAACTGGCAAACAGGTTGAAAGACCTAATGCCGGAATGGATTCATATAGATCAAGTGGGATTTGTCCCCAGGAGGGAGGGAAGAGACAGTGGGTTGAGATCACTGCTTCTCATACAAAGAGGTAAGAGCAAAAAATCCCCCATACTGATTTTATCAGTGGATGTAGAGAAGGCTTTTGATAGGGTGGATTGGGGATTTATGTTAGACACACTGGAAGTTCTGAGGATAGGCCCCAAAATGAGGGAGTGGATAAGGAAGCTATATACTCAACCTCTGCAGCAGTAAAGGTCAATGGCACGCTATCGGAATTCTTCAAGATGCATGATGGGACAAGGCAGGGGTGCCCACTTCGCCTTTGTTGTTTGGTTTATGTTTAGAACCTCTTTTGGCTACAGTAAGAAATAGCATAGATATAAAAGGGATTAGGATAGGAGAGACAGAACATAAGGTAGCAGCGTATGCTGATGACATGCTAATTTATGTGGTCAATCCTAGGCTGACATTACTCAACTTAATGAAAATAATGAAATATTATGGGGAGTTCTCAAATTTAAAAATTAACCCCATCTGAGATTCTAAATGTTAATGTCCCGAGAACTGAGAAGAAAGCTTTACAAAGAAAATTTCCCTTTTCATGGAAGGAAAGAGAAAATATTTGGGAATAAAATTAACCTTGTCTTTAAAGAATTTATATAAAATAAACTACATCCCATTAATAAACAAGATCAAGGAGGAATTAAGGAAATTATCGGTAGGACCTCTATCCTGGATAGGATGAATAAATTTGAGAAAAATGATAATTGTCACAAAAATCCTAAGTTTCATATGCTACCTATACAACTTCGGGGAATGTACTTTAAAATAATTTAAAAAATGATATTGAGGTATATTTGGGGGAGTAAAAAAACAAGAATAAGTTATGAAGTGCTGTGTAGAGACAAAGAGAATGGGGGTTTAGGTGTGCCGGATTTCAAGAGATATTATTACTCAGTATTATTATCACGTATTTTTGATTGGACACATAAAGCACTTGGGAAAAGTTGGGTAAATATAGAAAACACACTAAGTGAGACACAATTAAATAGGATGGTATGATTACCACATCAATATTGTAGGTTGGCAGAAAGCACGAGCACTTATACACATATTGTTGCCGTTGGTGGATACAGATCTTTTCCCACCAGGAAAAAAAAAAAAAAGAAAATATTTCAGGTGATTGGATAATAAGATGGGATGCACAGTTAAAAGATATAATGAATGGTGAGGAAATGTGCTCACTTCAGGAGCTGAAAAATAAGAAAGAGCTGTTTTTTAGATTAGATGAGTGGCGACATTTTCAACTAAGACACTTCGTGGCAAGGCTCCCTAAGCTCTTAAGGACAGCAGCGGATATGAACCCATTCAAACAATTATTTAGCACATGTAGGGAAAGGAAACACGGTACTTCACGAATTTATAAAATTCTGACTGTAATAACAGGCGTCGCTTCCCTCCTGTATATGGAGAAATGGGAAAGGGAACTTAGAATATCATTTGATGAGCAACAAAAAAAGAAAATCTTTAGACAAGCACATGGGGCTGTAGATAAGAAGGTGGATGAAATGAACTACAAATGTTTAGCTAGGTGGTACATCACACCGAGTGTGGCACATAAGCAATATGGAGATAAATCGCCTATGTGCTGGCGGGGATGTGGGATTAAGGGCACAATGGCACATATATGGTGGGAGTATCCTAAAATCAAGGAATATTGGGGGGGAATAATTCCCCAAACCCAGGCGATAACTGGGGTTAAGATCCCGAAAGATCCAGGAGTATGCCTATTCCATAAAACTGAGACTACAGTAAAAAAAATATAAGAATTCGGTGATAGTTCACCTTATAAATGCAGCAAAAGGATTGATACCCACATTTTGGCAGGAACAAGATGTACCAAAAATAAAAGACAGGATAAGTAAGGTAGAATATATATATAGAATGGAGGAACTCTACCACATAGAAGAAGAAAAAATGGAGAGATTTCGAGAAAGGTGGGAAAAATGGGATGAGTTTAAGAGATCAAATAAATATGTCGAAATGGGAGAAATAAGAGAAAGAGGGGACAAGAGGACATGTATAATTAAAAAGGAGAAAGAAAGATAGGAAGAAGGAGAAGGGTATTCTGAGGTTACTCAGAAGTGATGAGGAACGGGGAGCCAAGGGTAAAGGAATGGGGGTAAGGGGAAGATGGAGGGGAGATGAGTTTTCTTGGGGGTATGTTTAAAAGGAAATGTATTTTTTAATGTTATGATTTGTGTTTTATAGTTATGCTGAAATTTGAAAATTAGAAATGAAAGGCAAAACATTTCTTTATAGATATAAAAAAAACATTATAAATAACTTTTTTTTTTGTTATAAGTGATCACATACCCTCTGTTCTCAGCTGCATAAGAGTTATGGGAGGAGAAACAGCAGTACACTGTCAGGACAAGTCTGATCATTGGAAAAGAACAGGCTGAATTCCCAGCATAGCTAGAGAACTGAGCACACTGTGCTCTCCTCCTTAAAGTGGTCATTTTTTAGAGAACAGGTACAGCAGGCACATACTGTATCAGGAATATGAAATGTTGGGTTTACATATTCTTTAAGCAAGTAAAAAGCAAGTAAGAAGGTAAGCAACAATATTTAATTTTTTAAGGTATGACATGTTTGTTGGGCAGCATTAGTAAAGCACTGATCGGTTTACTTGTTGCCTGTATTTGCTCTTTTATTCTGGCTTCTGCTATACAGGTGAAAGTGGCCTTTTGCACCACACTGGAACTACTGACCTACCAACATCATCCAGAGGATCAGATGCTGCCAGGAGTGACACTACTACAGTCAGAAAATGGAGAGAGGAGGCTGCACTTTTCCCAGCAGTTACTGATTGAGTATAGTAATAAGAGCACACAGGTGAGAGTATTTTCCTTCCTGAGAGAGAAACTGGACAGAACACTAAAAACATTTTTCAGCATTGTTCTAGCTCGAAGTACAATAGTTCATCCTATGACCCAGCCATGTGTTTATCTCTACAGCAAGTGGCACTGAATGCATATATCACTGTGCCAGTGCTTCAGCTTTCAAGTGACACGTTGGATTTCGGTACATGCTTTGTTGGACAGACAAGGACACGAGAGGTTTTCCTCCTCAATAAAAGTGGATCAAAGAGCTACTGGACAGCTCTGCTGGGTAAACTATATGTATATCAGAAAATAATGCTAGTGCTGCTTACAGATGGTTTTTGTCTTTGTATAATCACTTTACAAAGTAAATAGAGACTTCACAAAAAAGTGTAAGAAGCTTAGAGGGAAGCTATCATTTTCTTTCACCTGGTCTCCGTGGTAGTTACAGGGCATCACTCACAAGGAATCTGAGCAGATTCAGATTTGCTGTCCAAAAATTAGTATACTGTGTGTGTTGGGGTTAGAGAATGTCAGAGGAGTTCTGAGCGTTTTAATAGAGGTAATTATTTTAGTGACCGATTTCCCTTAAGCCTCAATTACACCGCTGAACAATAATGCAAATTTAATTCTGAAGTTTGTTCAGATGTACAAAGAATATTGTTTCTGCTAAAAATTATGACAAAGGTATTCTCGCTTTTAATACATTTTTATACCTTTTTAAATTTGAAACTACCAACCCAAAAAGTTTATTTAACAATAGAGAACATAAAATAAAAAATACTTCTTTTGCATATACAGTATGTTGCACTAACATTATTTGAAGATCTAAGGACAAACACTACAGCAACTGAAACAATGTTGTTAGCGTTCTTTAAACATGGCACTACCTGGCTGTTCTGCTCATTATACCAAGAAATGTAGTGCTAGAGGGGCACTCACAAGCAACATTCAATAAAGGCTCATTGTATATATTATGTGCCGCCAGGTACACAGTAGTGGTTCTACATTCACATCTCACCCACTACGAACTCCCAGCTGTTTCTGGTTTCAGCTTTGATGTCATATCCGTTTACCACGCTGTCATGCGCTGACTTGTTTTGTCTTTCTGACTAGTTCAGTGGTCGGCAAGCCGCGGCTCGCGAGCCACATGCGGCTCTTTACACACTTTAATGCGGCTCTTCTGTGTGCCGGGCGCCCGCTCCCCTCCCTCCTCTTGGGCGGCCGCCCCAAAAGTCAGGACTCTGCAGCTAGCCCAGCAATGGGCAAACTACGGCCCGCATACGGCCCGGCGGACCTTTTAATCCGGCCCGCGGAGCGTGGCAAACATTGGCTGTCAGGATGTAGGCGGGGCAGCGTGACGAACTCCTCTCCTCTCACAGTCCGCCCTGAAGACCGGAACGGCGCGGGAACACGGCGAGAGGAACGCGTGGAGCAAAGGTAAGTGAATTGACACAATATGGGGGGAATGAATTACTATAGGGGGGATGAATTACTATATGGGGGATGAATTACTATGGGGGATGAATTACTATATGGGGGATTAATTACTATGGGGGATGAATTACTATATGGGGGATGAATTACTATGGGGGATGAATTACAATATGGGGGATGAATTACTATATGGGGGATGAATTACTATATGGGGATGAATTACTATGGGGGATGAATTACTATATGGGGGATGAATTACTATGGGGGATGAATTACTATATGGGGGATGTATTTTCAGTTTTAAAAATGTGGCTCTCAAAATAAATTTCAATCGTGGTTTTGGCGAGATTTGGCTCAGTTGAAAAAAAAAGGTTGCCCACCACTGGACTAGTTCATTTCCCAAAGTACTTTGTTCCAGACAGTGTTCCCCTCTGGGTACAGCAGTAGTCCATGGACCAAGCTCTTATTAAAAGTGGCAGATGGGCAGCAGCAGGAACTTGATGTGACCAACTATAAATGGCAGCGAGTTTGGAGTGAGTGAGATGCATTTGCAGAACCACTTCTGTGTATCTGGCGGCACATAATATATGTGATGAGCTTTTATTAAATGTTGTTTTTGAGTGGCACTTTCATTTTAATAAAGAGGGGATTTATAATTTACTACACTATCCCCAAATTTCCTGGTTACAGAGGGGAGAGGTGAGGGTAGGCTAGCAATTGGCTCCTGTAGCTGTCTGTCAGAATCTGGTAGGAGGGAGCAGGGGCATGGCTTGCCAGGTGCTGTGTGTGTCAGTGGTTGCCTCCAGAGAGCCTTGCATAGATGTCTCCTTTAGGACCAGCTACCTAAAGGAGCCATCTGCAAACTGGAGCGAGGATCAGTGGCTGTGAGACCAGTCACCAAAAAAAAATACAAACAGACTTTCTTGCATGAAATGAAAAAATAGGCTTTTCATATCACATTATGTTTTGTGTTTTTTGGATAATGAATCCTGTGCTTTCACTTCAGTTAGTATTAGTGATTAGGTGGTGATCAGACATAATAGTTAATATAAGCATAGTTCAATTGTGATTGTGTCAGGCATAGAAGTACAACAGCATGAAATTCTATGTGATTTGTGGAATAAAGCTCCTCTCTGTTCTACCTCAGTCGTGGACTCCACGTGTGCTTGCTCTTAATGCAGCACAATGGTGTAAATGGGCCCTACTTGACTGTGTGGATTTTCTCATTCAGTGTTTTTTTAATTCAATGGAACATACAGCACAATGCTTGTCAATGCACCTAATGTCCATACACCCATTGTACATGACAGGACAGCTCCATGTCAGTGGAAGGGAAAGTGTGTTGTATGGTATGAAGATTTACAAAGCACTGAATTTGTTGGTGGTAAACTGTTAATGTAATGTAATTATATGCCTATTGGTCTATTTTAGACAAGAAAGAAAGGCACAGCAACACCGAGGTCTTTTCCATTTCTCCCAGCAGTGGGGTGCTGGAGGCTCATGTCAGCCACACATCAGCCAGTAAAGAGATGTTACTAGTCGCCTTCACAGCAAGGTAGGAAAGCATAATGGGGTGATGTGTACTTGCACAGTTACAAACTGCCAAAGGCAGAACAGTCATATATTATACACTGCCATGCACAGATTTCTGCTGCTGTCAGATACAAGTCATTATAATGCTTTAGATCAGTGTTTCCCAACCTTTTTCCAGTCAAGGCACCTTTTTATGGGCAATCCTGAGCCACCCTCTTCTAAAATGTAAAAAACTAGACTAATAGTTTTACATTTTGCAACAGCATCCATATACAAAGGACACCCAACACTAGAGGTGATTTACTATTTCAAAGTAAATACATTTTTGCATGTTAGCAGTGACTAGTATTCCAGCAGTTTTTCTTGTTAATTTTCTCTCCCCAGCGTAGATAACGTGACCCCAGTGTTGACAGAAAGGTGACGGGGGGGGGGGGGGGGGTTGAGTCAAACAAGGATGCTGTGCAGGTGCCCAAAGTCCTCCTTGCCAACCAATGATGTCAGCAGTTGTTAGGATGCTGACGGCTGCCCTGCACAATACCTACGTTGTAATGCCGCATAATGAAATCTGTGGCTCTGTGTAAGAAAACAGCAGGCTTTTACTTTTTCCATACTCTTCCTATTCAGGTCCCTGCGGTTTTTTCTTTGTGTACTGCAAAGCCGGATTCACAGTTTTATTTGGGCTCATAAACGTCCCAGAGTGCCTAGAGCCAGTCTATATACTCATAGATTGCAGGGAGGTTTGGGAGTCCCACACGTTTCTAGATATTACTTGGCGGCCCAGATTTCCCAGTTGTCTATGCTTCATGTCACGACAGATATCCCATTATGGGTACTATTGGAATTACCCAACTGTGCTCCGCTTTCCTTAACTGCATTGCTTTGGGTCCCGCCTAAGCTACGCCCTCCGGATTTGAGCCCTGTCATGCTTCACAGTTTATGAACCTGGGATTCTGTAAAATATTCGGGTAATTTGATTTCATCATTTCTTCTACCTCTTTTGCCGATCACATATAATCCTTTATTTCCGCCAGGCCTAGAACACCCCCCTTCTTTCTCTTGGTGGACCTCCCATGGCTTTGTTATCGTACATGATTTTCTGAACGCTCGTACGTTTCCTTCATGGGAATCTCTTTAAGCATCAAAGGAGGTCCCGCCACGGGAATATTATCGGTATTTGCAATTGCGCCACTGGGTCCTTTCCCTCCGTCGTACTTCTACATACCCTTACCGCAAAACGTCCTTTGAACATGTTTGTCAGCACTCCCCAGGGTCCCCTGGTCTCATTTCTGTAATTTATGCCTCCCTTAACAGTAGGTCCTCCTCACCACCCCTGTCTTATGTCTCTCAGTGGGAGCGAGATCTGGGTGGCTCGATTGCAGCGGAAGATTGGCGTAGGGCCTGGGGGACGGTGGCGAAATGTTCATTCAATACAGTCACTCTTGAGGCAGCCTACAAAGTTCTCCTGCGGTGGTACTGGTTCCCGACTCAGACTGCGCACTTTAATCTGACTGGCGGAGATAGATGTTTCCAGAATTGTGGTCTACGCGGGGACGTCTTACAAATTTGGTGGTTGTGCCCGCGATTGATAGGCTTCTGGTCTAGGGTTTTTGGTTTGCTACAAACGCTATTTCACATTACAGTCTGTAGGGATGCAAGGGTGGCACTTCTACATTGCCCTATTCTGGGTCTGTCTAGATCTCAGCAGAAACTGGCATCCTACCTATTTATTTTGGCCAAACGCGCCATAGCTCAAGCTTGGAGATCCTTCGGTTGTTTTCCAAGGGGTGAAGACCCGGATGAATGATATGTTGGTCAATGAACAGATGTCTAGCATTCTTCATGATTCTTATCTGAGATTTCTTAAGGTTTGGGAACCTTGGATACGATATTCCTTGCCATCCCTGCCCCTTACTAGTTATGACCCCTTATAATTGCTATCTGTGCTAGCCCTGGATCCGTGACTGTTGTACTCTCCCTTTCCTCTATTTTACTTTCTGACTCCTTTCTTTTTTTTCTTTCTTCTAACCTTTTTTCTATCCTCTTCTCTTTACCGTATTCTGTTTGACTACTGCTGATAATATTTGGTTCGGCTTTTTGCTGTCCTTCCTTGCTGTTATTGGTCATTTTATTACTTGGCTAATACAAGTCAGCAGGATGTACCTGTTCCTGAGTTACTGTTACGCTCGGCCCCTGCGCGGGCGTATATTGAGCTTGTTGTGTTCATAAAACAAAACTTTCTTAATAAAAAT